TTTTCTGTCCTTCGGTTCACACCAAACACGTTACTGCATTAATGATTTATCGCACATCTTCGTGTGATGAACAATACAAGGTTTAAATCCCATAGCCACAGAAAATCTGCTATTTAGTTACGAAAACGAACAGCCCCAGGCCAGACAAGACTGTAATAGGATATGCGTACTATTGAACAAAACGGCACAGCGAAGCTCTCTACCACCTCGAACTTGGAACTTGAGCGATGAAACAGCCACCTGGATCCGTATGTCTAACTTCTTTCCCTCTCCGTCTGCTCTTCCTTTTTAGGTCCTGGATAGACTGTCGTTGGTCGTTGAACAAAACCAAACAGTCGCGTTTGTCGGGCCAAGCGGTTGTGGTAAAAGCACCGTTATGCATCTTCTGCAGCGTCTGTATGATCCGGTCAGTGGCAAAGTGAGTTGCATACGTAGTCTGCTTTTTGTCTGTTCGCGTTTATCCAGTTTAATTGATGGTCGCTATTTAGAGCAGTTAGCATGCACATTGTGATTTCTATCAAGAGCCGTTTCGTGGACATTAATGCTTAACATTTCTGTCGATGATATATATATATATATATATATCGTCTGTCCCCATCCGACCGCTATAACTGCCGCTACGGTTTAGTACCTTCTTCATTTCTATTTGGCTCCCAGCAGCTTATGTGACGGGTCTCAGCCGCTTTCCCTGAACTAGACTGCACAAAAATTTAGCCTACCCATATTGCCTAGATAAAACTAGTATTGTCGAGACCAAACTACGGGGGATCAAGAAGAAGATCAACAACAAAATATGCATTGACGATACCATAGTTGTTTTCAATTCGGTTCAGTTTAAACAACCAATAAGCATGCATTTCCATGCATTGCTTTTGGTTGCTGTCTTTTGGCTGCCCATTTAGGTGAACAATAGGAGGAAAACAGGAAGGTTGAAAGTAGGATCGAAGAGAAAATCGAGAAGTTCGGTAGACTATTGATGCAGAGAAATTGAGAAGATGCACGAACGCCATTGTTTACAGCACCCAGCCATATCACTCGGTGTGTCTAACCATCGGTTACGATCATCCCGAAGTCTCCACCCAGGGAGCCTAACGGGACCTATGTCACCCAGTCCCCTGGTTAGGGTTTTCATACCTTCATGCCCGGTCTTAGTTTAACCACCCTTGGTTTTATTCCACCCGTTACCTGCCTCGGCATGATTGTTTCCCCCCCTGGTTAAGTTCCGTCGGACAAGCACTTTTGAGAATTGTTGTGTGAGTGTGATCGGACAGGAGTTTGTGAGCAGCGAGCAGCATGGGTCTCGACAATGCATGCTTTGTTGCTGATAATCCATTCAGTTTTTGGGTAAACTGCACGGTTTAAAATGCGCCGAAGATTATTATCATTATTTCGTTCATCCTATCGCTACTACCGTGTTAAACATCGCAGTGAAATGTTTATACGGTCAGCCAACACATCTGTGTTATGAATAGCCATGAGTCCGTTTTATTGATTACAGATTACCGGATCTCGAGTACAACGATACATCACGTTCAGAGTAGCGCATTAGGTCCTACACTTTCAGTTTAGAATTGTTTCCGATCAATTTATAAAACCAATTGCTAGTTTTTGTATGAATGGGAATTGTATAACTGTACTTTGTATAAACAAAGTGGATCCACTGTCAACCGATCTAATAAGTGATACGTTTATGTTTTGTGCGTTACACCTCGATTTTGATTAGTGTCGGAGTTAATACGTGTAAGTACACGCACGCTTACAAGAAGGAACCATTCGTACAATGCTTTCCAGCTTTTCCAGTTCACGATGAATTTCTCATCTGTTCAGATCACAATCTGTTTTGTCTAATATCGGTCAAACATTCTCTGTTTCAATCAGAGTCTATTTGAAGCTACAAAATTTTCAGTTTTCCATGTCACTTTTCTCGCTACAAATTACTGAGATTATATGCCCATAAGTTAGTCTCCGTTTACTACCTACCTGGTGACATGCGTAGCACATGTCCCAGCCAACGTAATCTATGGAGGTAGATCACTTGCTCCAGTGGGCGACCGTATTTACCCAGAACTCTGTCCCTAACCTCAGCATTGCACATCCGGCTATCCCACCAGATTCGTGCAATGCTGCGTAGACAGCGGTGTTCAAACACCGACAGTCGGTCTTTATCTTGTTTTCTTAATGGCCAAGTTTCTGCACCGTATAGCAGAACTGGCCGAACTGTCGCGGCATACACTAGACCCTTCAAACACAGCCGGATGTTGCGACGGCGCCACAGATGTCTCAAGTTGGCAAATGCCAGTCGAGCCTTCTGTATGCGAGCTGGCACTTCATCCGTAATGCGTCCACCGGGTGAGATATAGCTGCCCAGGTAACAAAACTTATCCACCTCCTCTATTACTTCCCTAGTGAGGGTGAGGCTGGGTGCTGGACCAACCCAGTCTTGTAGTAACACTTTACACTTTGAAAGTGCAAAACGCATACCGAATGTGGCTACACTGGCATTCAACTCATC